TTTTTTTTTTAATTTAAAAATATTAAAAATTCAAAAATGTATAATTACGTCTATACTTCGCATAGGCACGCATATACTTGTAATGATTAATGCTCAACCAAACCAATTTGTCACGCATTACGCTTTTTAGAATCTTGGTTACTATATATGTATTTTCTTTAAAAGTCGTAACTTAAAATTTGTTGCATTAACATCTCACCATCACCATGTTCACCCCACCACCATCAGCAATCATCATCAACACAAGGAAATTATGCCCCGTTTGGCCCCCATTATTTGAGATTATAATTTTTGGAATAGTATTTTAGAAGAATGTATGGTTAAAAAAGAAGAAAAAGTTTTGGATTAATGTATAATATTGTTTTATTGAAAAATATGTGCTTGATGAGCAAAGAGAAAAAAAAATGGATTATAATTTTAATGGGGCCAGATGGGTATTAAAACCACTACCGTTGCACCATGTTTAATTTTTTATTTTGTAACTCATCCTCCATTTGGGCTTCATTTTCTTTTTCGAAGATAAATATTAGTTATAACTACGTATTTTACAAGACCCATAAGTACTACCCACTTACCGCTATTATTTTCTCGAAAAGTAGAATTTTAGAAAACTAAAATAAATACCCAAACAAAATTTATCAACTCAGGTACTACCATCACCATCGACCAAAACAAAATATCTATTTTAATACCATTTGTCAACTAGTTTTACTTCACCTCCTCCACATAAATTTACATATCAAAGTCTTAAGTCACCATAAACACCAATAAAGATGTTCCGTTGCACCACCATTAGCATCAACAATGCGCCTACCACAAAGTACTATAAAAGCTAGTGAACACTTGCCATGCACCATCATAAAATCACCGTGATTGCAGTCATTCATGGACGATGATGAGTATATTTCACTCATACTTTAGACACCATCCAAATTTGATATTTAGTTAATTCCTATATGTTTTACTGTGTTTCAATGTGTGTTTTGATATTGTGATATGTGTCAATGAAATTGGAGAAAACAAGCGAAAGTTGGCAAAAATTGAGAATATTGCTAAATTGTAAGAGATTTAAGATATGGGGACTAAAGTGCAAGTACTCAAAAGTTGTGTCAGACTTTGCAATGAAGATTCAAGAGTACTAAGAGTCAATTCGATTAATAAAGAAGACAAAGGGATAAAATATAGTCAAAATATGATCACACATCAATTTTCAATCGAAAAAGTTTTGTATTGAATTTTCAGCCTAATATTGAGATTCATTTTTGGCCTAGAAAACAGACGAATTGGAAAAACTATAGTAAAATTGTAGCCCTTTGAGTTAACTTTATAACCAATTTTGAATCACTTCAATTGGATATTCGAAGGAGAAAGTTGTGATAAAAATATTGAAGGAGGACTGTGAAGCACCCACCTGAATAAATTCACAGCGTGGTTGCCTATGCGGACAAAGAGAAAGGTAGATTTTTTAGTATTTTTCGGTCCAATTAGTCTCCAATTCTTTCTAAGACTCCAAAATACTATAAATATATGATCAATGACCTATTTTCTCCTATAATTCAATCGAACAAAAAGTAGGCAAAAAGCAAGTAACCATCAATAAATCAAAAGGAAATCAAGAAAAAACATCGTAAATGAGATTTAAGATCTACCAAACTAGTTTTTCTATTCTTTTCTCTATGTTGTTTATTTGCATTTGATTATTTTTATGGCTTTTATCATGAACTAAACATCTGATCTAGGGTTTGACGTAGCCAAAACTTGAGAATATGATTTGATTTGATTTGATTTTAGTTATTTTTATGAAATTCTCCTTTTTGTTTATTTGTGTTATTAACTTAATACTTTCAATTAATTGGTCACTAATTAAATGATTAGATACTAGTCAATTTCGGCACTCGAGAAAGAATATTTGGACATGATCACAATAATACCACAATCTAGGTTTTATGAGTTTTGAGAAAAAATACCCTTGAAACCTGTTCCAAATAAGAACTATAAACTTGATAATTCTTTGATTTTAATTTGAATTTGAATTTTAGAAATAATTTTTACTCGGCACTCGAGAGATGGTGTAGAATTGCATTAGAGTTCTTACTTGCGAACATGGAAAATTGATTAGAGACAACTTAGTTTTTGAAGATCATATTTGATAGTTGGGTGAAATCATAACCATGAGCTTTTTTATCTTGATTATTTTTCTAACTTTGCATTTATTTGTTGAATTCATCATGTTAATTTAGTTAAAATCATTGATTCCAAATTTCACTTGTCTAGATAAAATAAAAGCTACATAATTATAGTATTTGGTAGAAATTAAAATACAATCATTGTGGGTTCGATA